AAATGGAATGAACCCAGCCAGATTTCATAAATTTTAGTAAAATTGTAGTTATGCTGATTTAAAGAAAAATCAATATATTAAAAAGTAATGTTTCTGCATACATCCTTTAATAAATACTTTTTGGAAACACGTAGTGGCAGAAAAATCTCTTAAACACAATAGACGATACATGCAGTACCCCCAAAATGCATAAACTCTAGCAGCACCAAGAGACTCTATCATCTAAACATTACAAGAATTAAAATATAATCAGTGCTTAAAATAGCCCATTTTTCATTCACATAATCAAACTGTTATTAAAATTTATCAGTACAAAAATAGTTTCACAAGCTACTAATGTCTATATATCTGTTCAGAATGCTCAAATATGTAACAGCAGTTATTTGTCATATTTATCATATATTACTGTATCTCTGAGGGTCATAAATTTATAATACACAAAATTAATAGTTTTCAATACTATATTTCAGTATTATATTCTAACAGCATGAGGATGCTATAAAATTATTTCCAAGAGAATTTTAAATAGCTTTAAATCTTAAAAACAAAAAATCCTGGAATTTATTATTAAGAAATAACAAATAAATTTCAGAATTCCACAGAGTTGATGCTATGAAGCAAATAATACTCCCTGAAATAAAAGAACAAAACCTTCCCCATATGTATATGCTAGTCTGTTAGTATATAGCTACTTTATTTAGTATATAGCTAACCTAAGACTACTGTCTCAAATGATATCCTGAACATTCAAGTGAGCCACAGTGTATACCTGCACAGTCTCAAAAGGATATTATCATTTAGTTTAAAAAGTAATTTTTAAGAAAAAAATGCCATTTAGATATAATTTAATATCATTTCCCATAAGAAATTAGTAAGCGTTTTCATCCTCATGATCTGCCTCTTTTTCACATCCTTAAACTTTAAAAGCACTTAAATAGATATTAATTTATTGAAACTTATTCAACGAGAATGTTTTTGCATAGTTTATGGCAAGGACATAAAACAGTACTATAGCACTTGACTGAGGAGTATTGAGCAGCCCATTCATTTTAAAATTTAGTTATGATGTATAATAAAAATATAAGAAATGAATAATTCAAGTAACCCTATAATGCCACTGAGTTAGAAAATAAAAAGTTGTATTAGCTTCATAAATAACTTTTATGAAAGTTCAAAAGTAATTTTAAAGAAGTATTTGTGGATGAAATTATATGTCTGAGATTTGCCTTAAAAATAATTGCAGAAATGGAAGAGTCTGTAGGGATAGAAATGAAACAAGAATGACCATTTTTTCATAACTGTTAAGACTAGGTGATGTATGTGTTCATGGGAGTTCATAACAGTATTCTCTCTTTCATATAATTTTGAAAATTTGTATAGATTTAAAGAGTAACAAAAATGTTTGCTTATATCTTAAAGCTAAGTGGTATTTTTTTGAAAATACACAAAGCTAACAGAGTTTGTAAAGAACAAACTATAATTACATTACTAAAATGTTCAGGACCAAATGAAAATCAGGGTCTTCTTTTGATATGTTAATTCATGAATTAATGAGATTAAGGCATCAATTCTGAATTCTAAGAAGAGCAGAAATTGGCTAGCTAAGTAGCTATTACTATAATCAACTCTTTTTTTTTATATATAACATTTTTTCTTTAAATATATTTTATTGATTTTTTACAGAGAGGAAGGGAGAGAGAGATAGAGAGTTAGAAACATCGATGAGAGAGAAACATCGACCAGCTGCCTCCTGCACATCTCCCACTGGGGATGTGCCCGCAACCCAGGTACACGCCCTTGACCGGAATCGAACCTGGGACCCTTCAGTCCGCAGGCCGACGCTCTATCCACTGAGCCAAACCGGTTTTGGCTATAATCAACTCTTTTTTTTTTTTAATATATTTTATTGAGTTTTTACAGAGAGGAAGGGAGAGAAATAGATAGAGAGTTAGAAACATCGATGAGAGAGAAACATCGACCAGCTGCCTCCTGCACATCTCCCACTGGGGATGTGCCCGCAACCCAGGCACATGCCCTTGACCGGAATCGAACCCGTGACCCTTCAGTCCGCAGGCCGACGCTCTATCCACTGAGCCAAACCGGTTTTGGCTATAATCAACTCTTAATTAACTTGACTGACTAGATCACTGTTCCCTATATCCTTCCTTTAAAAACAAAAACAAACAATAGAGATTTTAGCATTATGCTCCCTATTTATTAGTAAAATAGTATCAACCAGAACAGAAAAATGTTGGCAAAATATTTTTTTGCTATTCATTCTTTTCTGTTAAAATAAGTACGTACTGAGTAGGGAATATAGTCAATAATATTTTAATAACTATATATGGTGTCAGATGGGTACTAGAGTTATGGGGAAATCACTTCGTTATATAAATGTCTAATCACTATGTTGTACACCTGAAACTAATATAATATTGAATGTCAACTATAATTAAAAAATAAAAGGAAAACTTTTAATGTACTAAGGAAGAAAGACAAAATGGTCTAAATAAGCCTTAAAACAGATTTTAATTATCTTCCAGTGATCTTTTCTCTACACAGGATAATAGGAACAGTTAATCAGCACACATATAAATATGTACATTACTGAAACAAAATTTCTACTCTCTTTTTTTAAAAATCCTCACCCGAGGACATGCTTAGAGAGAGGAAGGGGGAAGGGGAGAGAAGGGGAGGGGGGGAGAGAGAGAGACAGAGAGAGACATCGACTGATCGTCCTCTGCATGAGCACCAATAGGGAATCGAACTGCAACCCATGAGCATGTTCCAACCGGGAATCAAACTGGCAGCCCTTTGGTGCACTGGATATCGCTCAACCAACAAAGCCACTCCAGCTGAGCTAAAGTTTCTACTCTTAATGTGAGCTTTACTCTGATGTTTCTTATTTGGCTTTATTATATTTCATTTCTCAGAATGCCATGAATAACCTAAATTAATTTTAAATTACCACAGTTTGAAAAATCCTAGATTATATAATCTCTGAGGTCTCTCCTAACTGATATTTTGGGATTCTAACATTAACTACAATATACATCATCTTTTGTCTCCGGTAGAAATCAAAACAAGGTCAGAGAATAAGTCTAAAATCCTATAGCTAAAATGTTTTTACAATGATATGAAAACTAAGATTATGTAATGCTTTTAAAAGCTTAAATTGACCTGTTAAGTTTTACTCTCAGAACTCAAATATCTCCAGGGCTAATCACCTGATTACCAATCCCAGTTAGAAACTCCAAATACCAAGGATTAGCAAAACAATAAACATTCAGAAAACTTTGGGTGGATAAAGTAAACTAGAAATAGCATTTACAGATATTAAATAAAGAAATTCTATTTCTAAATGCTACACTATTCAATGCACATGACTTGATTGTTGCAAAGAAATCAAGTTTATAATTATACTCAGTGTAGTGAAGTCTATTAAATGGATATATTAAATATAATTTAACAGGAAAGGACATTTTCCTCCCTCAACATAAATATTTTTTAAAATTGCATACTAATCACATTGATCTTTAATTGTAATTGCATATTTTAAAAACCTGAATGTTTTACAAATCAGTCTTCAGATCAGAACTAAAATTTTTCATGTGTTCAGTTGTTTTTACAGCTATAGAAAAGAGAACATACTTAATCTGCAATAGTAAAGCATGATCTCCATGATAATTCCAAGATATGTCTGTTTGTGCAAATTAGCATTTTTTGGAAATAAATTAGAATAGCCTCACTGTCAAATAGTTTCTATCCATTCATTCCTTTAAAAAAAACCTTACCTAATTTCTTCTTCCTGAGCCTGACCATGAAGTCCCTCAATGCTAGTCTCTAATACAGCGGTTCTCAACCTGTGGGTCGCGACCCCTTTGGCAGTTGAACGACCCTTTCACGGGGGTCGCCTAAGACCATCCTGCATATCAGATATTTACATTACGATTCATAACAGTAGCAACATTACAGTTATGAAGTAGCAACGAAAATAATTTTATGGTTGGGTCACAACATGAGGAACTGTATTTAAAGGGCCAGAAGGTTGAGAACCACTGCAAAATGTTCAATCTTATGCCCCTAATATCCAACAAGTTCAGTCAAAATTAAAGGGTCTCATAAAAAAGAGTTTGGAATATCTCACTTCACAATTCTTCTGAATAAGCTAAAGAACTTGATTTTTTTTAAATTGGTCCAAAAAGAGATGCGCAACAAAGGAAAATTGTTTTCTTAATTTCAATGAAAACTACCCAGTAAAAAATTGCCTAAGAAGAGTAAAAATGAACTTTAAGACATCGACTGATAGGTATTTGTTTACATTTGCAATAATGCAGTTTCATAGACCTCCTTACATTCCCAAAATCCCACAATGCGGCCCATAATTAATGTGACTGATTTGGAACACATGTAGGATAAACTGTACCTGCTTAAAGTATATCAAATTCTTTTTTAAAATTCAGAAGCATGTGAAGATTTATTTTCTGTTAGTTGGTGTGCAAAAATAATTCTCACATTAACAGGTTTATTCTAGACGTTACCCCAATAACTTGCTTCCTTCTGTGAAATCATACCGTGAAATCACCTCTAAGACTATGGTAAGCTTAAGTTCAGAGTAGGAAATTATTTTTAAAAAATTACAACCCTCAAGAACATACATGAAAATGGAAACCAGATTAACACAGGGAGCCTTTCAGCGACTGTGTTAGAAAATAAGAAGAGACTTACAATAATACATATGCTTTTTCACTGAAAAATGATTTGTACTGTTATTAGCTCAGTAGCCCTTTTTTTATATACAGATAAAGGAAATATTCATTCCTGCCCATCCAGGCAACTATAAATTATTAAAATCTTTCTGAGGTTAACAGAAACAGTTAAAAACATCTGACCTGGAATTTTCACTCAGGGTTATAACTTTGCAAGATTCATCCGAAACCCAAATAACTTTCCATGTTTACATATTTTACTGAATCATGATGGTTGAATTGAATTTGTACCTATGTGAAAATGGCAATGCATTCTGAGTCGGTTCAGCCCTTGACTCTGAGTTCTGGGTGACATCAGGTGTTCTTTCGTCATCAGTCCCATTGATACTTTCTGGTGTTAAAGGAGACTGGAGATCCCCGCCTGCTGATTCCTTAAAAACAAAGGGATTAAAAAAGTGTTATACTTCTACTAAAAGACACAAGATCATCTTCAAGTTAAAACTGACTCTGATGTATGCTTACTTATGAACTATATTTCAATTAAAATTTAAATCAGACTTTAAAATGAAATTTGAAGTGGAAATAATTTTTTAAAGCAAAGCGACTCACAATAAAACTATCTGAAACCCTAACACAATTTAGAATATAGTTGTAAAGAACTGAAACACTTTGGGGCTTACATAAGCAACTAATTAGTTAGAATAAAAGATATTCAACGAATTGCTTGAGAAGAAAGAGAAGATGGCACAAAAATGCAAGAAGATGTGAGGTTTTATTTGGGAGGGTACGACAGAAAAGTGTAGAGAGAAATCTTCAGAAGTTTTAACTTTTTTACCTACCCTACTTTTCAATTCTTGGAATTATTTAGAAAAACAGTCAGAAATACCTCTATAACATACATAATGATGCCAGTGTATTTCAGCTTTTCTTGACTCCTACTCAAAATGGAATTATTTTTCTTCACAAAATTTCCTCTTATATCTACTTTTAATTGATCTGCCTATCAAGGTAAATTTAATGTATCCCTCAGGAAAATAAATGGAATTTAAAATGAAGCTCAAGCTGACACTTATTCTTGCATCTGCCATGATCAAATTATCCAAATTTGATATCAGAAATCAGAATGAGGGGGTCATTTGATAAACTGTTAACCAGGTGAGGTTCTAGCATGAGATACTGAAAGAGCAGCTTGGTGGACCCCTTGTTATTGCTGGGAAATAGAACACCTGAAATATTAGGCTATTGTTAGGGAAGAAAATGAAAATATCACTAGGGAACTGGTTAGGTATGGTCATAATTTGTCAACTTAGAATACAAGATTTCCTAAAATAAAATCAAGGATAATATGTGTAATACAGGGAAATGCTTCTAATTAGGAAAAAACATAGAAGAATATAAGGAGATAGCCTACGTTATGATAATTTATATACTTTACATGAAAAATCTTGCACATGAAGTGCTGGGAAGAAATATGGAAAATATTGATGTGGTGAGACTTTTTTTTTTGAGGGGGCTTATGGTTTTACACCACCGAATGCATTTTATTTCACACTTAAATATAATTTAGCTAATAGTACCACAATGCTATAAATTATATAAGCTATCAAAGATCAAAAGATGACTCTCTTGATTCCACATTATCACTTAATTATTTTTTAAATATTAATGGAACCTCTATTTCAACCTTTAATTTCACTCATTAAATCTTTCTCCTGAATCCTCTTTGTTTCCACTAACAGTCAAGGCATGGATAAAGTTTATAAGATAATGTGCAACATAAAATTGTTTACAACAAAGTCAAATCATACTAAGGGAATAATGGGAACACTATCCAAAGTGACTCCTTCCAGGTCAATTATGGACATCATAAAAATGACAGAAAAAATCTATTAATAGCACATTCAGATTTCTTTGCAAGTGCCAAGGGTTAGCTCTATTTTGAGAAAAAAATATCCATAAAATTGCAGGCAATTAATTATTGGTATAATTTATGTAAGAAAGACAACTTGGAATTCCAATCAATTCATATTCAAAGAAAAGGCTTCAACTCTAAATCAAAATATGGGTGAGTAAATAAACATAATATTGAATTTTAATTTATAAATTTTAAAGAATCTTTTTAAAATTCTTCACATTCACTGACTTCTTATATTAACTCATCAACTACTAGCTTTGATTCCAACCAAATGAGCTTGTGCTGTATCCCCTCCTGTTCTCTCAATCTAACCCACTTTCCACCTGCTCTTCAACCTCAAGACTAACAATCTTTGGTTTTATTTCTCTCCATACACCAGAAAGCCAATCATGTTAATTACACTCTCGCTAGCATCATCCCAATTTTCGGGTTTCCTTTACCTTTTATAACATCTATGTTGTCAATTTTAATTTCATATAAAATGAACCATCATTCCCTATTCTTATGTGCCCAAGTTACCAAAAGCTATGAGAGAAAATATACTGTTAAATACGCTGATTGGTGCCATGAAGATAATTTTGAGCTCTGACTTTAATTATGCTCTTGAAGTGCCGAGTAATCTTTACCTACTCCGTTTGACTCTTCTTTTTTTCTTTACCTAACAGCTGTTCCAAACCTCTGTTCAAGCCTTCTCTCTTTTTAGTTGTCCTTCCTCTTTCACAGAGAAACTAGAAATAAATTCGCATAGGCTTCCTCAATCTCCCTCTTATCTGTATCTGAATCCATTTTTATTCTTCCTTCCTGTCTCAGATAGAGTGGCTAATTTGTTTCCATCCTCCCCCCCTCACAACAGTACCTTCTGCATAATGCTCCATCTATGATCCCTTCCTTCTATTCTTCTCTTTCTCCTTCCTGACTCAATTTAAAAGTCTTAGACAAATGACAGCTAAATTGTTTTTCTAGACTCCACTGAAGAAAAACTTTGATAATATCTGATTATATAAACCTTTTATCTTTAATGCATATTCTGAGAAAAATACCTAACAAGTTAACTGTAATACAGTATTTTTACTATGAACCATATAAAAAATTTCAGGAATAGAACCAATCATAACTCTTGATTTGATATAAAATTAACTGTTTATAAGATTTCCATGGAAACATAAGAACATAAGATCTTCCATAGAGGAAAATGTTCTAAGTTAATGTCTATTATTTAAAGAGTGATATGAAAGAAACTAATAACATGTAATTCAACCTATTCCTAAAGATGCAACCTTGATCAAGAAAACATTAAGATTATTGGTAATACTTTCAATAATAAAGAATCATTTAAAAAAAAGATTATCTGACATGATCGCACTCGGGAGTCTAAGAATGGGGAAGTGGATAACTTTGCTCTAAATGCCAGACTGCTTTCAGAGAGGTGGGATGGTTTGTCCATGGCACTGCTTCTCATAGTGTGGTCCCCAGACTGACAGCATCAGCATCTCTGGAAACTTGTTAGAAATGCACATTCCTGGGCCCCATCTCAGCCTCACCAAATCAGACTTCTTCGGGTGGGAACCAGCAACTTGTGTTTTAACAGCTCTTCCAGGGGATTCTGATGCAGGCTTTATTCAATTAAGGAATTTGTGTTTTTCTAAATAACTGTTATGTGCCAGATCCTCTGTTGAGGCTTTACATCATTATCTTCACCATAGCAACCACATCACCAACAACAGCTGTTAACATTAAGCATTTACTATATGACAAGCACTTTGTAATCCTCATTCAATTCTCACAAAACCCTATAAGATAACTGTTCTTATTCCCATTTTATAGATTTTTAAAAAATAGTAACTTGCTTAAATCAGAAAACCAGATTCAAAAACAGTCTCTATTGCCATGATCGTATGACACTGGCATAATGTCATCCTATATAATAAAAGGCTAATATGCAAATTGTCCCCCTGACTGGGAGTTCGACTGGGAGTTCAACCCAGAGTTCGACCAGGGGGCGGGGCCGGCTGACCAACCACCCGCGGGCCCTCCCCCTGGCCGGCCTGGCCCCAATCGGGGCCGGCCATCCAGACCCCACCCGTACATGAATTCATGCATTGGGCCTCTAGTCTGTTATATTAACGTTGCCATTATCATACTTGTTCCTCCCAACCACCCTATAAAGCAAGTAATGAAATACTCGTGTTACAGGTATATAAGCAATTTTAGCAAGATCACACAGTGACAGAAAAAGGATTTATGACTAAGCCTGTCAGACTTGAACACCCATACTCTGAACCACTTGTTTATCCCTCCTCAAACAAAAACAAAAACTATGCCTAAAAGTTTATTATTATTCATTATCCCATATAACCTTCTGATCCTTATGCTAAATTCATGAGTCATATTCTATTTTCCAGGCAGAGCGTTAATTTAGCAGGTTGGGTTAAACCACTGAGAACCAAGCTCTGTTCTCTAGCTGAATAGGATCGGAGTAGCCAGCGTTCAAACACTGCAAACTAAAACAAATATTAATGACACCTGTAATGGACTGTCACAAAAAGGGGAGAAAAGAGAAGTGAAAAGAAATACTTTTTCTTTTCTTTTTTTTCCCACTATTTCTCTGGCTTCAATTAACAATCAAACTTCAAATATTTTGAAAAGATTAATTGGTGTCAATATATTTTGGCTCTCAAATACTGATGAGCTTATGGTATGTCTTGGATATATCCCTTCAATGAATGTAAAGGCTTAAAGACACTCCTTCCACCAAAGAGGAGCAGGTATCTTAGCAACCTGTAGTAGTTCATGGCCAATTAAACAAAAGCAAGTTATGATTGGAGAAACAGAAACTAAGTACAAAGGCAAAATGTAATCCATTACAGTTCATTGGAATCATTTGAGTATTCTCTTACACTACAATCATTCACCCGAGTAACTGACGTTCCCAGCACGTATTGGTACTAAATTTTAAATAGGCTTTTATGCTTAAAAGTATCACTATACCATCAGAGCACTCAGGGAAGATAGATTCAAAGGAAATTTCAAAATTATCATTCATGTTATTCCTGGTCAGTGTTAGTACAGAGATAGTATAATGAAGCTTCAATCCAGAGTAAACCTTTAGTCTGTGAGGAAATATGTACTTTAAGCATACTTAAGAGAGCTTTCCTTTCCTTTAAAAAAAAAAATACACACCCAAAACTCTTTACACCAGTAGGGTTTGCCAAATAGAGTTTGGTGCCAGGTTGGGGAAGAAAGTGAATAGTGAAAGTTTTCTAAAATGTTCCAATCGTTTGGCTAGTCACTAAATTCCAAGGCAATTTCTATTTACTTCCTCAAGGAAGTTTTATGTAAATCTGCTACTACTGACATCATTCCAGAGAAACATTTGTACATCTGATCTTCATAAAACTCCCAAGGAAACTTCAAAAATAATTACTAAAGAGAAAAAGCACAAAACTGAACTCTACTCCTGTTTTCCTGAGCCTCCCCCGTCTTTGTCTCCTCTAGTAGCCGCACCTCAGTGACTAGCACAGAACACAAACAATAGGTCAGTCTATGCTCTATATGTACGATTGTTTTTTAAGTTGTATCCACATTTTAAAAATCTGCGTTTTAATTGCTAAGCTAATCCCTCCCCACCCCCAGATTCTTGTAGACACTGGCATATAGGACAAACACCTTTCTTTCTTGACTAGTACAGATGAACTAAAGGGTACATTTCTGTGTTCACTTTGAAAATTATCTTAATTTTGCCATTATGTTCTTAAGTTTGACTCTGGCATAAAGGATATCATCTAAAATGAACAAGGCTCATAAATAAGAATGGAAATTAAATACCCACCTGTGAAGGTGTACTGGTAAGTTCCATCTTTTCTTGTGATTTCTCCTTTGCTAGTCGAGCAGCTTCTTTAAATTCCTGAAACTTTTCTGCAAACTGAATGTATAAAGACTATATACATTAACCAAATAAAATAAGTTGCAATGCTCACTTTTACCTTAATTTTCTTTTATCGTTTCTATAACTGACTCTTATGCATGCAACCTACCCCTCAAATCAATTATAAGTATAATATGAAAATGACAAAAAAAGAAACCAAATACCAAAACATATGTATACTGCAAAGTACACTGACAAATCTCATTCAAAAACATCATAACATAACTAAGTTAGAATCTGGTGTCAGCTAGCTTACCTATGTCCTTCCTTGGTTTTTCATATATACTTTACTAAAATGGGCGGGGTTTGGGGGGGGGGTACACATCGGGAGAGGAATCAGTAAAGATGGGCATACCATGTTTGTTTATCATGGAAAAAAGGGAATCTCTTAAGTATCAACTCCTAAACATCTCAGTATCTGGAGCATGCTCTTAACTTTTACTATAATATAAACTCTTGTATTATGAAGGTATTTTATTTTCAACAATACAAACAGCAACATTTACTATTACCACTAACTGGCATTAATAAAACTTCATTTCTAAAGACTCCTAAACAGCCAATGTACAGCAGCAGAAGGAATAATATGTCTCCACAAAGGTCTTTCAGATTGGTAACAATTTAAAAAATTACTGTACATAAAATGCTAATTCTTAGGAACTCACAGAAATCTATAAACGTCACAGCCACAAATACTACCTTATCTATGTGTTGGAAGTAGATACTAGTTTACCACTATTCTCAGGGAGAGTAAGTTATGGTTACAAAATAACCAAATTTAAAAACCTAAAATCTCTTTTTCTTGGCCGGGTGGCCTGGTTGGAGCATCGTCCCGTACAACAAAAGGTTTCAGGTTCGATTCCCAATCAGGGCACATACCTAGGTTGCTGGTTCAATTCCCAGTCGGGTGCGTATAGGAGACAACCACACACACACACTCTCTCTCTCTCTCTCTCTCTCTCTCTCTCTCTCTCTCTCTTTCTAATAAATAAAAAGCATATCCTCTGAGGACAAAAACAAAAAAAACAAAAACAAAACAAAAAAACCCCTAAAATCTCTATGCAATTTAAACCACTTGATTAAAGTTGGTAATAAAAATATGAAATGATCGTTCTCTCCTCAAACCCCATAAGCCAACCCTGATTTCATTTCTGTCTTGGGAAGGAAAGCTTTGGTAGGAAAGGCTCATGATACTCTGATGTGCCTTTGGGAGATAGAGGAGGATCAAAATTAGAGTTGTCATTGCAACTTTTCCTTCTTGCTTTAAATCTTTCACCCCCTCCTACAACTTGTAGATCTGGGAAGTGAATCTCTATACTATACTTTAGTTCCTGTGCTAATTAAACAGAACATCTCCTTACAGGAAAAACAACAAAACTGAATACAAAGCTTGAAAGGCCTTATTCATGTTGGTGGAATTAATTAACCATAATTAATTTCTCTTTATGTAATCTGTAGTACAGAAAGCTTTTCTTACACTCATTTAGCATTCCAAAGTAGTTAATGTTTAAAACCCTTCTCAACTTCACAAAGACCTATGCTATTGCTAATTTTTAAAGACTTAAGTTTCCATGATAACAAAATACAACGCAGGAAGCACTAAAGCATAGCTGTAACTTTTCTCATACATCAACCTTAACGAACCACCCTGTTCTAATACTGCCACTCTCCCTTACTTTGAGAGGCCTCTGTCTACAATTGCCTTCAGGGGCTTCTCCAACCCCTTGCATTCTTTTATATATTTTAATGATAAAACAAGTCAGAATATTTACATGTTTGCTTCATTTATATAAAATATTATACACTCCATAGGGTCCTTTACAGTCTATAAAGCATCCACATTAGACTTCAAGGCTAGTCTCTTCAGAATGCTTTGAAGAGATTAACTGTAAACTCTTGGAGCCAAATCTAGTGAATAAAAACCTGGACTTGGCTCTGAGAGCTAATAGGTTGTTTCCTGATAGTCAACCCACATGCAAAATACTAGAATTCACTACTGGTAAGGTTGGTCAAAAATATATGCTAATTTTAAGAAAGAAAAATAAAATTCTTGAAATATAAAAGCCATTCCCAGAAAAGAAGATCAAATGAGAGGAGACAGTATAATTGAACAGAATTTAATAAACGATTCCTTTATTACATTAGCTACTTTCCCACTAACCTGAAAGACACAATGAAAAACTTAATATATGGTCAAAATTACTTAAGCTCAAAAATCATTTCATGCAAGTTTAGTGAAGATATTAAGCCACATTTTAGTTCCTGTGCTAACCAAAAATTCAGCAAGTGGAATATAATTATAGTTTTATTTTATTCTTGCTATAGTCTGTAATGAATGGTTCCAAAAGAAAAGTTCTAAGGTTCTGAGTAATGGCAAAAGTATTAGAATAAACGTATAATTTCCTAAGGGAATTATTTATGGAGGGACAATGCTCAGCCAGATACCTGTGTCCCTGTTATGTTGAAATACTTTGAATCTAAAACTCATACCTCTACTACAGTTCAAGTAATGTATTTAGAGAATTAGATGGGTGTAAGAGAAATCAAAGCAGGTAACTTGGTTGTTTTAATTATCCTATAAAGAATGACTTACAATCACCAAGGCAAAAGTTAAAATAGTCTAAAAATTGAGCTTCAAACTGCAATTTATGAAAAAGATAACATTTGAAAACAAGTGTTAAGGAATGTTTACAACTAAAACAAAAGGAAACAAAGTAGCTTATTTCATACTTATTCCTTACATACTCTTTCCAAGTGACATCCACTGAACTATCTAATAGTAACCTCAAGTCAATAAATATTCACAAAAAGTGTACGACTTTTAAAAAGAATCTGAATGACCCCAACTATTTGAAGTCTCAAGCCATGAGATCCTGTGTATACTAAAACACATGTAAAATGTTTCAAATGTAGGGTTGTCCTTCTAACTGAATGCTTCAGAGAAGTTTTCAGCATAAATCTTTGGGTCTGGTGAGCGTAAAATTTGAAGAGCAAAAGTGAGTAATACTCATTTTCTTCATCATCTTAGGGAGATAGTTTCCTCTTTTTCTTACACACTCTTTCCATGCGACAGCCACAGACTCAAGGTGTGAACACTGCTTGACTTGGCTTATAGGCAGGACAACTGTTTTGTTTCCTGGTGATGGTCTGTATTATATTGGCTTTTCTGGCCACAGTACTTCACTTGGTTAGTGTTTCCCAAGAACTCCTCATAGTATCTATGGGGTCTCTGTATTGCATCAGAGAGCTCAGAGTAATTCTGACCCAGACAATGCACAACTTTCCCTAAACATAGTGATTTATATGTGTCTGCTGTCACGTCAGAAAGTTGAAATATATACCATTATCAGCTTGAGTTTTCACAACTCATAAGAGCTTGGTGTCTACCTATCTTGCAGACCATCTCCAACTAAGGATGTAAAGTCATGAGCAAAGTCCATTCTAAAGTGGTAATTCACATGTTTTATTTCCTATCATACACACAGTTAACTATGCAAAGCCTTCTCAATCAGTGGTGACTATTTTTAATGTGTGCAATGAATTTTCCAATTGACAACAGAATCCAATGATCTCTTCCTGCTTTAAAATTACAACAGTTCTGAGAATATTAAACAAATTTCTCCTATATATTTTACACTCTCCATTTGCTACTATATATTTAAGATATCTGACCTGAAGACGAAGATTTCCACTGAGATCTGATGAATTAACTTACTTTTGAAAGATGATGCTCAGAAGAGAATCCCAGTCCATAAACAGTGTTTGCCCGGCTATCGGCCCACTGGCCAAACTTCTGAGATGTTTTCGTAAATGTCATGTTTGGGGTGATGGTGCTATTAATTATTGCCTGAAAAATAAAACAAGTATGAGTAACCTGCCCAAAATTAGCAAACAGACATTTAAACACATAATTATTTCGTTACATAAAAACTTAGGATTCTTAATGAGCCAGTACATTAAATATACAGTATAGTTATAGAAATAGTTTATATTATTGCAAGTGACAGAGTGGAAATAAGGTAACTACTAGAACTATAAATATAATGGCAATCTATCAAAAATTGTAATACCTTACAGTCAAAATAAGTTTTCTTATGATGCAAAAAATTTTAAAGAGCTTTTAGTGTAATTAATTTCTTCCCTTTGAACATTTAGGGTCAATATCTATTAATTTTGTTTTAATTTTATTTAACATCTATTAATTTTGATGATAGTCACTAAAAGCAAGTAAGTTTTAATAGTTATTTCTTTAAAATAGTTAGCTCCCACTCTCCAAAAAATCTTTCAAAAATGAATACATCAATAGGACAAATTTTCTATTTGTACATGAATTTTCTAAAATGCATAATCAACAATTTTCCAAAACCTGACTTACCTGAAATATATCATGATAAAGAAAAGACTTTCAATCGTTTAGTATTTTTCCTTTACTCAAGGGAAAAACAAACCCCTAAATACATACTTTATTTCTTTTCTGATAAAGTGGTATAAATTCATGATTTTGAGAATCACTATCATTTCTGTTTAACACATAGTTCCTTAGAAAACTAGTATTTTAGTATGTTATTAAATATTAACCTTGGTGATGACTAAAATTATAACATATTAACTTAAATTCATTTCCTCTGTCAGTACTGTAAAAGTATAGAACCCATTTTATTTAAGTTTAATGCCCTCCAAAAATTGAGATTACAAAGTGATTCAATAATAATAAAAATGCGCATGTGATCACATTCATAAGTGGTTTTCTGGAAAATTATTAAATATGGAATGAAAATCAAGCATTTTTAGAACAAATCTAAATGTTCACCATGTGAACAACTGTATAATGTAAATATTTATGAGCTAAGCAAGTACTGGTGAAGTTACAATAATGAATGTATGACACCTGCCTGCTAAAGAAGACAGTAGAAGAGAGAGTGGTCCCTTGCTTTCTCTTACAGACAGTAAATGGGTTACCTGTTGTTACATGGAGCCCTTGTCCTTGATTAAGCTTTTTTGTTTACCTCCTACAAAATTTATATACTCAGATACCTCCTTACTCTTCAATTCAAAAGCTGCTTTTCCTAGCATGTCATTTTAGATCCTGTAAAATGTGGCTAATAACTGCACTAATTTGCGAGGTTGTCATCAAATGGAAAGACTGAATGGAAAAGAATATACAGTAGTCCCCCTATATCCAGTTTCAGTTACCTGTGAACAACAGAAGTCTTAAATATTATATGGAAAATTCCCAGAAATAAACAATTCATAAGTTTAAGTTGCATGCTGTTCTGAGTAGTGTGATGAAATCTCTCGCTGTCCTGTCTTGCCTTTGAATCATGCCTCCTGAGTCATGCCTTTGTCCAGCATTAGCCACACTACCTGCCCATAGTCACTTAGTACCTGTCTAGGTTATCAGGCTGACTGTCGAATGTCCCACTGTTTGTGTTCAAGTGACCTTTATTTCACTTAATAATGGCCCCAAAGCACAAGAGTAGTGACACTGGCAATTTGAATATACCAAAGAAAAGCTGTAAAGTGTATGTTTGTACAGGAAAAAATTTAGTTCTATCTGCACTTTCAGGCATCCACTCACAGTCTTGGAAGTATTTCCTGTGGATAAGGGGGAACTACTGTATTAATTTGCTAAGGAATCATTTGGTTATTCAACTATTTTATTGAGTACCTATTAATGTCAAGCACAATTCTATAAACTTGAGATACAACAAGAGGCAATATGATTGTAGATCACATTCTAGAACAAAAAGCATCAGTCAATGACCACGTAAATAAATAGCTGACCAATTTTCCGTGAGTGGTGAGTGCTTATGAAGACCATAAGACCAGGATATGATAGAGACTGAAAGGCTAGACAGCCAGGACTGTCAGGCACTACTTTAGATCCCCTGGTCCTGGAGTATTCCCTGAGGAAGGCACATTTGTGTTTTCAAGAAGAGAAGGGCATTTAACATGTTACCCTAATTAACTCAGAAAGTGAGATGGCGATAGGGGTTACAGGCAGCTGAGGAAACCCACCCATGTGCTATTGGTACTGACCTTCAGTTTTAACTATTTCAAATGAACTTTTTTCTACTTTTCAGTTTAAGAGTTCCGTTTTAATCCTCATTCTGAACATTTCCTTAAAAATATATTTTATTAGACTTCCTTGAATAGAATGCTACAATGAATCCATTTAAAAGAAAAAAATTAGCTCTATAAAATAAACATGTATTTCAATCTCAAAGTTCTTATCCTTTCAAGGAGAAGAGTTAGAAATGCTGTGTTCTTACAGATCATGTAGTCCCTGATCCTGGCCCCTGGCCACGCTGATGCCTCTGCAAACTGTATATGCACAGTAAAAGCACATTCTCTAGCCAGGGCACCTAAGGCCTTCTCAACTGATCATGCTGTGCAGAAACAGAAGTGAGGGTGGTAAGAAAAAAACTCATTTAGCTGCATCAAATAAACCAGTAGTGCTTATAAAAAACAAACTAAAACCCCCCGACAACTCCTGCAGGGAACTGCAGTGGTTAACAGCATCAGCTTAGAAAGCTAACTAGAAAGTAGAAAATGTGATAGAAAAATGTAATTGCTACAGAGGGTAGATTTTATTAAAAGAAACGAAACAAAAACTTTTTCATAAGAGTTATTTAAGAGCCTAAAAATTACAAGCTGCAAAGTACACTCAAAAATAAAAATGCCAGAAGCAATAGTTCATATTGCTTCAGAAGGAAGACACACGAGGATTACTTAAACACATAGTACATGAGACTACTTCAGTTGAACTTTATTTTTTATACCATTTAACTCTCCTGTCTAATAAAATGACATTTTATCTGTGGTTTGGGCCAAGAGAGAAACACACATTATAGAGAACTAAAGATTCGAATCAGGGAAAAGAAATAAATTAACATTCTAGAGTCTAAATTAATAATAATTAATATCTGTTAATTTCACTAAATATTTATAAAATATGACAAAATTGTTCTTCATTTTAAAAAAACACTTTCAGACTTGTATGCATGCATATAAGCACAACCAACAGACGCAAGACACTGGGGGCGCAGGGGAGAGGGGGGACGAGGGCAAATGCTGGGGGATAGGGGAGGCCGGGGGGAGGTCAGTGGGGGGGAAAAAAAGGAGACATATGTACTACTATTTGTAATACCTTAAACAATAAAATTAAATTTAAAAAAACCTTCACAGAAATTAACTATTTCAATTTCCCAAGTCCTTTAAATCCTCCAAATGAAAATGAAAATAGATTCAATTATTCAAATAAATACAAGTTAGTCACTTGTGAACCGAAGTACAAATAGCCCCTGGGTACTATAATCTAGTTAATGAGACAAGAAATGAGCACACAGAAAAGACTGAAGTTTGAGCATTAAATTAGATTTTTCTTTTATTCCCCCAAACCACTAAGTACTACATAATTAATAGCTTAATAATATTAATAATGGTAACAGTAAGAGTTGTGTTTATATAGGGATTACTATACACCCTTGGAGGGCTTTTGCCTAAATGTATTTCATCTTCACAACAATCCCACGATATGATGACGTAGACAACTTACTAATTCTTTTTTCAGATGAGAAAACTGAGGCACTAAGACATTAAATATCTTGCTCTAGGCCAAATGGCTTTTAAGTAGTAGAGCAAAAATTCAAACCAGACAGTCTGGCTATATAGTCTGTGTCCTTAACCCCTAAACTAAATTGCTAAAATTTCTGAGAATAGAAAGGCCTCATGGCTTCATGAACACTTGAAGAAAAAGAACGGAGCCCTCATTCTACACACTTTACATCCAGAATATGATGCTTGGCATTTCTTTATCTTCATGTGTTGTTCAAAATTCACTGATGAAAAAGTGGTATCCATCAGGCACTGATCTAAGTGTTTTTGCAGATTAACTCATTTAATCCTTACAATTTCAAGCACTGAGGTGAGAACAATGAAGCGCAGAGAGGTAATTTGCCCAAAGTCAAAATCTTAGTAGATGGTATAGTTGAGACGTGAAATCAGGTAGTCTATGCTCTTAAATATTAGACTATTTGCCTCTCCTAAAAATAAAAATGTAGGAACTGTCCGTATGCTTCTTTCTGAATGAGGGATGCTCAGAATAAACTTTAATATTGATATTGACAGACTTCATATGATTTAGGGATTTTGAACAGCATACTAACCTATAAGAGTAGAAATTGCATCCATCCTATTCAACACTATATTTGTAGCCCCTAGCAAAATGCTTGACATATAACAGATAATCAATGAATATTTCCCAAATAAAACTGACCTCAGATTTGTAGAATATTTTGACATGCAATTTAGTATATAAGGTGATTAATCCAAATAATTTAGTGGACAAAAAATGTTGCTACCTTAAAAATGACCAATTTTGGCCCAGCCAACGTGGCTCAGTGGTTGAGCATCAACCTATGAATCAGGAGGTCAAGGTTTGATTCCTGGTCAGGGCACATGCACAGGTTTCAGATTCAATCCCCAGTGTGGGGCATGCAGGAAACAGCCGATCAATGATTCTTTCTTGATGTTTCTATCTCTCTCTCCCTCTCCCTTCCTCTCTGAAATCAATTTAAAAAAGTATTTTTTAAAAATGATCAATTTTGTTTTTTAAAGTTTTAAAATCTCTCAATATTTTAATAAAGATAAAATTCCTCTAAAACTGAGATGCTATACTGTATAAAGCAAAATAGCAAGATTATTTAAAATAAATGTAACTTACCTTTGAGCCATCTAAACTGATTATCCTATAGACATTTCTTGTGCTGTCATAGAAATAAGACACAGTAACTGCGTGCTTGCTGGTGGGTACCCAGTTCTTCTTTGTGTTTGGGTCAATCTGGAAGACATGAGCACGAGTGCTGAAGATGGGTTGTTCCCTGTGGGGGAGAAAATAAAATGACACTCTGAAGCCAGCCAATTTTATTCCACTGGACAATAGAACATGAAAACTACGAGGATGACCCCACTTAACCAAAAACTCCCCACATCCTGAAAACAAGAGAAACTTTCAAATTTGAATATTCTAAGTATTCAATCAGAAGCTTCTTTAAAACAATGACAGTCAATCCTCATTATTGAAGATTCTGTATTTGCGAATTTGCCTACTCAACAAAATGTATTTGTAACCCCAAAAGCAATGCCTGAGGTCCTTTCTTGGTCTTCTGCAGTGGAAAATGTGCGTCCTTGGAAAAGCATGTTTCCATCTGACGCTGATCAAGGCAACACTCAGCCCTGCTGTTTCAGCTCTCATACTATAATCAAGTGTCCTTTTTTTGTGATCTATTTAGCACCGGGTATTTCGCATTTTTGTGCTTTCTGTTGGTGCATTCCCTGTTTAAAATGATCCCCCAAGCATAGTGCTGAAGTGCTATCTGTTCCTGCGGCAAGAGGCTGTGATGTGCCCTATGGAGTAAACATGTTAGATAAGCTTTGCTCAGGCATGAGTTACAGTGCTAATGGCCTTGAGTTCAATGCTAATGAATCAAAAATATATATTAAATAAAGTATCTTTAAACAGAAACACATAAAACAAACTTATGTATTGATGGGTTGATGAAAATGTTACGACAGAGGCTCACAGGGACCCTATATTCCCCCTAGGAGCAATGGGTCAAAATTCACAACTTCAGTGTTTGTGGAGCCTTTGTAAGAACATAACTATTGTGAATAATGAGAACTGACTATGCCTTGTTAAAATACACATCTTCTACTTGACCCTCACTAGGTTAAAGGTTGCTACCCATTTAAAACTACATTATTCTGGTAATAGGTAAATAACTTACTGAGAAAGTTTACACCAGTATAATCTCTATATTGAAAAGTATATGAAAAACTAAGTGGCTCACCACAACAGTATCTTTTAATTAGATCAAGTAGTGCCTTAAAGATGTACAAGAGATTTTAAAAATTATAACTTCAAGAACCAAAACTATTAAAACATTAAAATATTTAAAAATATATTCAAAATATGATGATTATAGATTTTTTACAGTCTGAGATTGTCTGTATATAATAGAAGCATTATAATGCAAAATTTTTCAAGTTTGGAGTAAAATTTCTTTTGAAAACAGCAGCTATGAGACATTTCTTTGTCCCCTCCCCCCTACCCCCCCCCCCCAAATAACACAACACCTTTCTTTCCTAAAGCAGATTAAGGTCCTAAAGAGAAGTTTAACTGGTATTTTTTAATAGTTAAAGTTAAAGTTAAAAGTTTTAATTTTAAAGAAAGGACAGGAGAGTGTGGAAAAAAGAAATTAGAAGACAAGCAGGACAAATCTGGGTCCTTGACAAACGGCTCTTCAGATAGATAAAGGGCAGTGTGTCACGTGTCCCCTGGGATCTCCTTCAGTCCTTGGAGAGCAGGTGTGAAAGGAGGGACTTCCCTGTAGGTCACCTGGCTCTTCCCAGTTTTGTTTCTGGAAACCTCTATAACAACTTTTCTTATTTAGAATATCTCTTTTGAAAGGAAGTGATATATTTTATGCCACTCCCTAAAAAGTGACAGAAAGTCATCATTTCTGGCTTAACTGCCATCATATATGGATTTCTTCAATAAATAAACTTTAACAATCTTGCACTGTGACAGAATAAAGAATTCTTCTGAATTGGGAGGTCTTATTCATTCCCTTTCCCCATCCTTAACTTTCAGTAAGGCTGTGCTACACTTGAGTTATCTTCCCAAAGCACTGCAGCTTCTAGTTTTCATTTTTTGCCTTTTAATTAAAGTCCCCAGTATAAATGTACTTGGTCAGACTGAGTGTGACTAATTCCAATTCACAAAATCTACTCACACAAAACTGTCTGTATTAAGGCATGTAAGGAAGAGAATGGAACACTCTAGTTTTTACAGACTTGATTTAAAAAAAAATTTTTTTTATTTAACTGGGGTAAATTTCTAAATAGTGCATGCTGGTAATTATAGAAATGTGTTCTAAAAAGTGTATTTTCTAAAAAACTAAAGTAGTTGTTAACACAATGATATTGCTTTTGCACTCAACAAATTCTTATTCAATGCAAATGCAATGTTTTGAGTCCAGTAAAAAAAATTCCCACATCACATTAATTCACTCAATTTAATTAATCTGCACAATTAATCCACACAGTTTATCTTCTAAATAAAAATCTTTAGAGTAAACTACTATTTTACAAGCAAATGACATTTGATATCAATGAAATATATTGCTTTCTTCAATTCTCTCTGAATGGCTGATTTCTTAAAGAAACTTATAGTACAAGATTTCTGTAGCCAAAAGCCTACCAAGTTTAAATGATAAAAACTAAAAAAATAATAATAATTTGACAGGGAACAGAATTCCTGTAAGTAATGAGGATGTTACTATATCACTTAGGGCATACTAATAAATGATGCAAACTTTCATTGACTATCTACTACAGGCAAAAAACTGAGAGATGGTCCCCACCCTTAAAAAATTCAATTTGGTGAGGGAAGATAGATATGTTTAGAAATAAAATGCTCTTTCCCATGATATTCTCTTAAAGTGACTCAGGGCTACCATGGAGAAATTGATGCCTAAGTAGTGTTTGAAACAAAGTATGGCACAGTGGTAAGAAGGCTCAGCACATTGGCCTGTGTAGCAAGAACTGTAGTGATTATGAGTGACTTTGAAAAATAAGGCTAAATATAAAGAGAAGCCAGCTCACAAGGGTCCTGGCTGGAGGCTACTGAAAGATGTAAATACAGAATAGCTTTGCCTTTTAGAAAGATAAATTTGGCATCACTGAAGAGGGTGGATTGGGAAGAAAGAACATCAGAGAAAAGCAGGCTAGTCAAAACCATACAAAAAACAGGAGGTAGGAGTGGGATGAAGATATGAGGAAGGATTCAAGGTAAATTTAGAAAGTAGAATCAATAAGGTTAAGTAACAGATTAGACATGGGCAATGGTTCTCAAGTAGGGATGATTTGTTCCTCAAGGGACATTTCAAAACATCTGGAGACATTTTTGGTTGGCCCAACTGAGGGAGATTATTATTAGCGCCCAAGGAGGAGAAGCCAGGGCTGGTTGCTAAACATCTACAATGCACAGGACAGCCCCACACAACAAAAAAGTATCCAGCCAAAAATGCCAATAGTGCCAGGGCTGAGAAATCCTAACGTAGGAGATGAAGGAAGGATCTGAGTCTCTCTCTCTCCTGGGTTTCTGGCTTGGGTGACTGAAAAGAAGACAATGTCACTGGCCAGGATGGGAAACAAAGTAAAGCCTGGGACTGGCAGGACAGCAGGGAGAGGATGAGCTCAGTTTTGACTAAGTTTAGAGCCTTTGCATGTAAAACTGTCAGCACAGGAACTTAAAAATATTAGGCTGGGGCTCAGCAGAGAAAACCAAGCTGGAGTGAAAAGTGTGGGGAATCAGCAAGAGATCTTATCATGGCCTTGGCCAGCTAGCTCAGTTGGTTAGAGCGCACGGTATAAAAGTGTTCTATTACTCATACAGAGGAATAAAGGGAAAGTAGGAGAGAAGCACAAATCCAAACATGCCTAACTGCAGGCCTGAAGTGCTGAAGATACATTCACCTCCTGGTGAAAACACTCTCCTCTTCCTGAGCCGTAAATACACAGGAAGTAAGAGAAAAAACATTCTATCTTCAGCTTGGTTTTTAGACTTTGAAATAGCAAGAGAAGGTGGACAATACCTGTTGAGGCCAAAAGGACACGAGCAAGGATAAGACAAGGAGTGGACAGACACTAATGACCATGTAACTTCAGACGGAATGCCTGAAGAATTCTTTCAGTGCCAATGTGAGGGCACAGCAAGTCTTCAGACAAGCTGAAGCTCAAGCACTAAAGTTTCTTCAAAAGAATTGTGCTGTGCAAATTAATAATATAAATTGTAGTTCCACTGATTATCGGGGAACCAGTTTAACTGCCCCCTGCCCAGCCCTCCAATGCAAAGATTGTGACTGCATGTTACTATGTATTCCTACTACCATGTTATATGGTTAACAGCTGTTAGCTTATACATTTAGCTTTTTTTAAACACATGCTTACTTTAAGAAAGCAAAGATTATTCTAATGGCTACCCAACACATAGTTGTACTGCAAGAACTCCATCTAGTGATGAACCAAAAACATAACAGGCATATGTTTTTTAAAACTTCCGTATATAGAAATACGAAATTGTGATGTTGCTATAACAGACGTATATAGACACAAAATGTGACACTACCAACTGCAAAATGTCTTTTCTGGAAGTATTTTTTAAAATTGTATGATCTGAATTCCTTCATCTTTTATTTGGTTAAATGCACATTCAAATGAAAGATTTAGAAAATAATTGCATCACAACTGAGCATAAAAAATATTTTCAGTGAAAAAAGTAAAGGGATTAAGAAGTAAAAATTATCTGTTATAAAATAGTCACAGGTATGTAAAATACAGCATAAGGAATATAATCAATAATATTGTAATAACTGTTTGGTGTTAGGTGGGTACAAGCCTTATACAGGGGACCACTTCATAAATATCTGAGCACTATGCTGCACACCTGAACTAATGTAATATTGAATGTCAACTGTAATTTAAAAATTTAAATAAAGAAATACTTTCATGACATTAAGTTGTTAATTGGCATATCTGAAGAAAATATCAAATAAATTAAAATTTTCCATTTGGAATTTAAGATTATCTATAATAATAAAAGCATAATATGCTAATTAGACCAGACAGCCGAATGACCTTCTGGACAACCTTCCGGGTGAAGCCGGGGCTGCGAGGGCCGAGGCAAGCTGCTGCAGCTGTGAGGGCTGAGCCCCTTGCATGAATTTCATGCATCGGGCCTCTAGTTAAATTATAAAACTATACTTAAACATAAGAATACTGTTTATATTCCTTATATACTATCCCTTATTTTAAAAGT